GCTGCCACTTCATCCACAACGCGGAGGAGCGCCGCACGGTGGCGGGGAGCCGGGAGCCCGCCGTCACCGACAGACCCCGCCTGCAGCACAGCTTCAGCTTCGCCGGCTTCCCCAGCACAGCTGCCAGCGGGCTGCTGGACAGCCCCACTTCCATCACCCCGCCGCCCATGCTGAGCGCTGACGACCTGCTGGGCTCCCCCACCTTGCCTGACTGCGCCAGCAACCCCTTCACCTTCTCCAGCCAGGAGCTGGTCAGTCTCTTCGCCCCCAGCATGGGTGTGCAGGTGCCCAGCGGGACCTCCCCCACCACCTTCTTGTTCAGGCCCATGTCCGAGTCCCCCAACATGTTTGACTCGCCACCCAGTCCTCAGGACTCCCTCTCTGACCAGGAGGGCTATCTGAGCAGCTCCAGCAGCAGCCACAGCGGCTCAGATTCCCCGATCCTGGACACCTCAAGACGTCTTCCCATCTTCAGCAGACTCTCCATCTCCGACGACTAAATCTGGGGTTTCCTCTTGCTCCCCCCCCCACCTCTATTCTGATGTTAAGCTGAACTCCCAACGCCCCCGCCCTGTCCCCAGTAGTCCTGAGCTGGATGTTAACGAGCCCACCTGCCTGCCGTAGACCCACTGGCTTAAACCTTAAGTGCCAAATTACGATGAAAAGCAATAACGTTTACAAAATTAGTGCCTTTAACACTTTCACTGTGACTGTATTACCTCTCCAGCTGCAGAGGGCACCAGCAGCTCTGTGCGCTTCCAGATGTGCAGGAAATGTCCGGATCCAGCTCCCTCCACTGGCCATGTACTGCATCGCCCTCTCCCAGTCCCTTCCTGACTGGCCAGTTTCTGCTAGGCTGCAGGCATGTGGGCAAGCCTTAACATCCAGTCCTCTTGCTCCCCTCCCCTTAAAGACTAATCTTGCCTGGATCCGCTCAGGTCTGCGGGAAGAAAAGCTGAGAACGGACAAAGATTGTAACATGAGTGGGACTTCGACTGGGAGGAAGAAAACAAAACGAAACAAAAAAAAAAAAAACCACAAAAAAACCAGAACCAGATGGACTATGAGAGACTTGATTTTGGTGCTAAAAGTTCCCCGTGTATTCATGTGACATCTTAAATAAAGAAATTGAGGGGGTGGGGCCGACGGAAGTCATTCCACACACACACACACAAGTTCGTGTAAACAAAGTTCCAGTAGAGATAGCTTTAATGGTTTTGCTCTAGAGTACTTTAGACCTATCTTAGAGCACTCACGCCAAGCTTTTTATTATTTTTTTTTCTGGGTTTTTAATTTTGTATAACGTTTCAGAAATTGGAGAGCAAATTTTGCTTGTCACTGCACAACAATATAAAAAAGCTTATTTAACTTATCAAAACGTATTTATTGCCGAAACCTATGCTTTTTTGTTAATTTTGTTCATATTTATCGGGATGATGAATCCATAGAATATATTCTTTTATGTTTAAATTATGATCTTCCATATTAATCTTAAGATTGTGAAGTGTCTTTTCCTTTTTTCCCCACAGTTTAATATATTATACTACAATGACATTTTTTTGTAACTTTACACTTTTTTGTTATTTTATTTTAAAAAATGAAAAATTAATTTAAAAAAATGCAAAAACTGTGTTTGGATTATTTATTTTAGAATTTCCCCCCCTTTTTTTTTTTTGTGTGTTGGACTGCAAATTGAGTTAATGTGCTTCTTTGCCTTTCCTCTTCTCCTCCTCTTCCCCTCCCCTGGGTCTTGCCTACCTGGGCTTTAGAATGTACATACCTGAGCTCTGTTGCGAGACAGCATGGAAGGAAGACCTTTTTCTTCCTCTCTTTGTATAGATTCTTCAAGGAGAAAAGCCTTGGGCTCAAAGTGCCTATCTGAAGACATTCCAAATACAGTTTGTCTTTGCGTTTCTGTATTCCAAGTTTAAAAGTTTTCCTTGCCGAGGTGAATGGGACTGGCACAAAGAGAATAATGAATGTAATTTTTTTTTTCCCGTTACTGTTCACTACATTGCTTTTTCTTCCTCTTTGTGTGAGTTTATTTAAAAGAGAATCTCTTTTGTAACGACTGTTTGCAGTTTAAATCAATAAACCCCAAGTTTTTTCAAGAAACTGACAGTGGAGCTGGTTTTACTTGCAAAAATCGAGGGGCTGGTTTTAGACAACCACTCAAATGCAGATACTTCCCTCCTCTTGACCCTTGAGGTGCCCACCATGTGCTCAGGCACCCCTCCGTTGTTCCTCGCCGATTCAATGGGTCAGCCTGCCAAGCGTGTAGGTACACAGATCAATGCCAGCCAAGTACCTGATGTGACCTACCCTGGTGGCCTCTAACCCTGTCTCTTACGGAGCCTTCCGCCCATCTTGAGTCGCTCGATCTATGCCTGCAAACTTACTTCTGATCGGTGTAGCTTAAACCTTGGACTGGCTTTTGTTCCTCGTGTGCCCTGTGTTCCTGTGCAGCTCCTTCCCCCTCAAGGAGAGCCTACGTGCATTTTGCGTGAGGCTAAAATGGGATGTTGGAAGTGGTACAGGTTTCCCAAATGTCAGGCCTGGCTTGTTAGTGGTGCTGGTCCACTTTGGCAGAGTGGCTGTTCGGTGTTTTGCATGGGAGAGGAACGTGGACCTCCAGCAAAGCCTCGGTGTACACACAGATCACCCTGCTGTCGCATTCAAGCCCTCGTACCCCTTGAAGTATCGGTCAGCAATCCCCGAAACTTCTGAAGCTGGGGGCTTTGTTTAGGGATGTTTCTTTGCCAGTGCTGCTCATGGTGTAAGTCAGTCTTGTGTTTCCACCTTTGAGCTCTCCTCTGGAGCAAGCTTGGCACTCTTCTTCATCTGAAACTGTTCC